TATATATATATATATATATATATATATATATATATATATATATATATATATATATATATATATATATATATATTTTTTTTTTTTTTTTTTTTTGAAAAATGTTCTATTTTTAGTTTTGAAGTGAGGGCGATTTTTTTTTAATATTTCTCGAAACGTCCTTTTTTATGTTATGCTGGTCTTACAATAAATGAGAGTTTTGCTAGAAAGTTACTCCTAACAATCTACCTATTCAAACACAAAACTACTAATTCAAAATCATGAACATTGGCTATCAGTGATGTTATTACAGGCGTTTTATTAGTATGGAATACTTAGAGGGATACAACTACAACCATAACTTGTATAAACTACAACAACTGTACAAAGTATACGTACGTACATACATACATATATGTATATACATAACCCTCGTATTCATAAATACTTAATAAAGTTATTGCTGGTTTATTGTAGAAATTTTGTACGAAAAAACGCTTAATAAACCAAAAATAACCGACTAATATCTTTGTGAATTCGGAGGTAATACTATAACAAGTTGTTTTATAGAAGAAAACACACTTTTTATATGAATGAAAAACCATACATAACATTCTATAAACAGCCGACTAAAGATAGCATAACTTTTGAATGTCGGTAAAATGCAAATGCATTTAAACTGCTTTTAAATGGAAATAATCTAATCGCATTATAAAGCATGAACAAAAACAACTACTGAAAACAGCTTCCCTATAGTATACTATTTTATAAAGAACACAGACACATGCAACAACAACACTACATATTAAGACAAAACACAATAAGCAGTGATGCTTTTATCTCAAGTGGTCAAACAAAATATTCAATAACTTGGTCTGTGAGAGTAAAAAGTAAAATAAAAATTTAAGAAAGAAAAATCAAAAGTGACGTAGAAATTTGATTAACAATAGGTATTATTGACATAAAGTGCTTACATATGCCATTTGTGGGAAATTTTGAATGAATAAGACTATATGCTTAAAACCTGCAGAAATTCAATCTTCCAGACATCATCTGTTGCCTAGATTTTATAACTAAGTTTAAGTATTGTTTTTTCCTAAACTTTTATATGTGAAGTTAAATCTTTAAAATTAAAGCAAATGTTTTATACTTTTTAGGTTAATGTTAAAGCAAAACAAAATTTAATTTGTTTTGGGATACTTTTTTACGTATAATTCGAAACATATGGTTTGGCCCAAACGCAGCAAAAAAAAACTTTCAAAGAAGCGAAAAAGAAGTAGAATTTACTCCATGGAAGTACTGAAAATGACCTGAAGAAGTGACGATTTTAACACAGGCTTGTCATAGGAGGGATGTCATTTTTATTTGATTCCAAATTCACTAATTCTGAAGTCATTCTCAAAAATAAAATTTTTGAACTGATAAAAATGTAAGAAAAACAAAAATATATCTTCAGCATTGAAAAAATTGGATTATTTTTGTTTCTTCGAAAGTCAATAAAGACAACTTCCACAGAAGGTAAAAAAAATCACTTAGTGCGACTTTAGAAGTAGTGATAAATGTTCTTCTTTTGGAAGTACTTCGTTTTAGTTTTGCTGGTAAGTAGCCACTATAGGACTGAACCCGGCAAAAATCAGACGAATTTTTACGGTTCATGAACTCTAAAGCAATTATTTTCTTAGTTTTTATGTTTGAACGCGCTTGTTTTCTAACAGCTTCCAAGAAATTTAGGAACTCAAATGACTCAAATGGTAATGACTTATAATTACACAACAACTTACTTTTCTTTTCTTACCTTTCTATAAGCCCTAAATCGATTTAAGCTACTCCTTCTAACTTGAATATTTATGAATCCATTTTATTTCTTTTTTTTTATATCTATATTAGGGTGTCCCGTGGACCAAAATTTTAAATAATACTAAGGGTCTTTTAAGTGCTATTTTGAATAGACTTTTTAAGTACTTTTTACTAGATTTTGGACTAGTCTACTTAATTTTCTTTCGTCTATAAATTAGTCTAGGGATTAGTCTCTGAATTAGTCTTTGCGTTATTTTCCGACTGTCCTATTCTATAGACTAGTCAATACTCTAATGTCTAAGCTATAGACTAGTATATTGTCTAGTTTATAGACTACTCTATTGTGTAGTCCATAGGGAAGCTAGACTGTCTAGTCTATGTACCAATCTGGTGACCAAATGGACTTGTTTAATGACTAGTCTAATGACTAATCGATGAACTGTTCATTTTGAAAGTGCTTCATATTAATATAAAATTTCCCAAAAATTTGACTTGGTACAAATGGAATCAAAATAGTACAATTGTTAATGCTGTTTTGTACAATTTGAAAATTAAATTTTCCAACCCTGTTGATAGCTTTTAAATTTTTATATGGATCTTTCCCTTTGTAAAATTTAAAAATATTTTTATTCTTTAATTTTATTGAGTTACTAGAAAAAGTTACTGCATCAATCCTTTCAAATCTTAAAAGTTTACACATGTATTAATATATATAAGTGCACTACAAACTTTAACTAAAACAAGTAAGAAATTATAGTCGGACGAGGCCGACCATATAATACCCTACACCTGTTACAAAATAGAATGTTCTTTAGTTTTCATAATAGCGCATTTAAGTTGAATTGCACCTCGCCTTGAATTGTATTTAAACCTTTTATTGTTGAATAAAATTGTGGACATTTAAGTCAAATTTTGAAAGGGGCTTTAAATAGGGCCTATGGTCAAATGAGACCCTATAATTATAAAATTCATGAGGATCATCAAGGCTAGCATAGAACTTGGTTTTGCAGCTTTTTCTCGAGATATAATAATGGAGCGATATTAACCATTTTCAATAGGCTTCGTCTCCGGTACCATAGAAGATCATGTGCCAAATTTCATTGAATTATCATCAAAATTGCAACCTGCAGTTTGATTACAATGTCCATAAGCCCTATTCAGGGGTTCAGTTGTATTGGGATTAGATGAAATAATAAACCGATCTTAACCATTTTCATTAGGCTTCATTCCTGGGACAATAGAAGATCATGCATTGAATTATCTTTTTCGAAATGCGGCCTGTAGTTTGACTACAAGGTTTATATGGACGGACAGACAGACAGACGGACATAGCTAAATCGACTCAGAAAATGATTGGTATACTTCAAGGTGGGTATAGGACCAATATTATTGTGCGTTACAAACATCAGCACAAACACAATATACCTTCTACAATAAAGTGGTGTATGGTATAAAAACAAGTTTCAACTTCAAAACTGTAAGAATTTTGAAAAAAAAAAACAATTCAAATAGAAAATATGTATTAAGAAATGTATTGATGCTCTACACACTATTTATAAGTTTGTACATTTCACTTTTCCAACTGACCATTCGAGGACATTTTAAAATAACATTTTATAAAATTATTTTTAGTCCATAGATAATAACAACTTGAAAGGGTATAGAAATATTTAAATATCTATCATTTGAAAAATATTCAAATGATGTTATTGCATTATTTTTTTTTTTTCATCTGAAATTTTCAACACCATATTGTTCTACACTAGGCTATAAGTTTTATTTTATCCAGCATGCAGCAATTTAGCTAGTAAGTACCACAAAATATTTTAAGTAATGCATTTTCATGTTGGTTTTTATATGTAAAATATATTTTTTTGTTCCTAATTTCAATTCTTTGCTCTTGCAGGCAGACAAATTAAAAATAATTACATTTTATGCTGGTTATTAGTAAATGACAAGAAAATTTATATCACTTGTCGTACAGACACATTTTTTAGAGATGGAACCAATGAGTTTACTCGTACATTAAATTGACAAATAAGAACATTTTCAGTTACATATTTATATAAAAATTGAAATGCATTTATCTTGTAATTTTAATGGAATATGAAGGAATTGCATACTTAGTATGAAAGCAATACAAATTTAAGATTTTTTGAGTTGTTTAGAGAGTTTAGGCCACAAATATTTTATAAAGTTAAATTATGCCTATAATTGGAAAAGTTTTTCTTGTTGTTTTTTTTAACAATTTAAATAATAAAGGCTAGGTTGATAGGAGGATGTGTATTAGGGTGGGTCGAAAATAGGCTTTTTCGCTCGGATCAACTTCTAAACCCGGTGTTTAGAGGGTTAATGATTTTTAGTTTCGAAAATTTGATCAGAACTAACTTTCCATGGACTCGGAAATAATAATCGCAATTTACTTGATCAAAATTAAGCAACAATTGGTAATAATATAATTTTTACTTAATTATTGGCAAAAATTGCCTTTTTCCCGAAATCCTTCAAATTCACATCGCAGGTACGGTAAAACTATGAGAGGTATTAAGCTCATTCTTTCTGTGTTTAATTCTTATATATATCCTTTATAATATCCAGTATAGAAAACTTTAATTTTTAAAAATCCATTTAACAAAATTTTTTAAAGTTTAAAAATGGAGTTTTGGAGATGCTGCTAAAATAATGGCTCTTTTTTGACCACAGACTAAACCAAGTAAGAGTTATCCAATTTGAACAAAAATTCGTACTTGCATATTTATAAACCTTATAAAGTTAAACATAATATTTCTTTGTAAAATTTTTTAAAACTAACAAAAATGTTCTTATATTCTTATATACTATACTTTGTTAACCAATTTTGAGTTTTTCCATCTTTTTGGAAAGACAATTTTGTAGATATTACGATTTTGCTATAAAATAGTGCAATAATTAATACTTAAAGCCTAATTTTGTGAAAAAACTCCAAAAAGTGCCATTTTCCCCATATAAACGCATTTACAAACTTTGGCGGCGATGCGCGGGCTCTTACCCTCAAAATAATTGATTAATATTTTACAGTCTTCCATTTGACGATAAAATACAACATAATTTCACTATTAGAAGTTGATCCGAGAGAAAAGCCTATTTTCGACCCACCCTAATGTGTATTACATCAAATCCGAAAAAATACACCTAACAAACCGCTAATAAATAATATATTTTTTAATAATACAATAATTTAAACTTACTTAAATGTTTCATAATGATGACGATCCATGTTACCAGTTAGGAAATCAAATACAGACATATCCATTAAATCCAATAAACGACGTCCTTCATCATAAGGTGGGATATCACGAACCTTTATTAAAATAGAAATTAAAAAAAAGTTAACAAACAATCAATTAGTTTTACTTAATTAAACATTTTTAATTAAATTGTTTACTACTTTTACAACTTTTTTATTCTTTTTTCTGTTCGAGAATATAAAAAAAAATAAAAAACTGTGTAAACATCTTATGTAGACTACATTTTAATTACGATATTTTAAAAAGCCATTAAGTTTGATTTAAATTTAATTTATCCCAAAGGTAGTGAAAGAAACCCATAATAATTTTGTGTACGTTTTCTTTTATGGTGTTTTTATGAATGCAAATTATTTTTTACACTCTTCCTGCGTTTTTTGCTGCAGTTTTCGTTTTATTGTAAAAAAAAAAAACAAAATTTCATTAAAGAATTTTTTCTCTCAGTTTTTCTTGCATTTATGCAACATTATAAGTGGCATATTAAATTTTAATACTCGAAAGCAGTTTGTTTTTACGTTTATATAACATACATTCCACCCCTACCCCTGCTACGAGCAGCTTTTTATTTGTTTTTAAATTAATGGAAATTAGCAAAAACGCAAAGAAAATTGCAATAAAGTGAAAACCTAAAGAAAATAGTCAGAAAATCTAAAATAATATTAAAAACGCCGGCATGGTAGTAAAATAAAACTGACTGAAAATTTCTAAAGAAAATGTAACACCCGGATTTCAAGAGAAAACAAACAGATGAAAGAAAATATAAAACTAAAATTAATATTTAAAAAAAACAAACTTACCATGGAACAATAGTTGGCATCAGTTTCCCATTGAGCCTTTCTGCGTTTGTGGTATGAACGACGCCAAGGATGACGCCAAAC